TTCATATATTTCACATCAATATCAATTTCAACAACAAGCCATTCAGTTCAAGATGTCAAGTACACATGAGAGGAATCATGAATCTTGGGCATATACAATACTTGAGAAATCATACACCTCAAGTTTATTAACAATGGAACTTTAAACACAACGAATTCTCCCAAAAAGGAGGGGACACACCAAACCAGAATAAAAACACACATCAAAGGCATAAACAAGCAATTACACCAATTGTTCCTGAATTACTCTTTTCCAATCACGACAATATACAATTTCAACATCGAAGTATATAATAACTCAGATCACATTGGATGTACTCATAAGGCAAAACATTATCTCGAACAGCCACTTATGGCATAAATTGTGTACAAGCCTTTTGGGCACTTTTTTATTAAAGTCATTTATGGGTAGCAAAGTTGAGGCTCATTTCATAATCTATTTCATATTTTCTCATGTCATAGGCATCACCAGGTACAATTATAATTCAAGTTCTTGGCACATTGGTCACACTCTATTTCCCAAATTCATTTGATTACTTCAGCATATCTATACATAGAGGATTTCACATAGTTTGGCATAATATATGCAGCTCTAATCTCAATTTAAGGTCTTATCATTTCAATACATGATTCATATCCCTTGCACCCTTTTTAAGTTATCAAGAATAGCACATTCATCATATTGGAATGCATCTTTCACAAATATAGGGTCACATCACCAATTCATGTAAAGTATCAATCAAAGCAAGAATCTAAAGTTCAGTCTTACCACATTTACACAACCATCAATAGAGCTCAATTTCTAAAAGACGGGGTTTTAACCATACATACCTGAAATTTGCCCCTTAATGATACTACAATGATCCAATACACTTAAACAACTTCAATCTACAATACAACATTCAATAGAGCTAATATTAGTAATAATTTCCATAACTTATGCCATTTAGGCATATTATCAAACACCTTGTAGGTATAGATCTTTACACCTCATAACTATAGTATTGGTTCATCCAACTATCGCCATTAACCAACAATTCATCCCACCATTATTCTTTAACAATTTATACTCCTAACATAACAAGTGTGATCAACCATTCACACCCAACCAACAAAATTCCATCAAATAATCACCTTTAAATCCCTACCATGGTCATGTATTTAAATTGGGAATTTATGGCTTCCAATCACCATACCATAAGTTGTAATACTTGATTCATACTCATAATTCCATAATAACTCTATATATGTAAGTCTAAGGGTAAAAGTTTACCTCTTGTAGACCAAATCTTGAAAGACTACCTTGGGGTGTTCTTGAGATTTTGAAGAAATCCTATGAAATCCAATCAAAATCATGTTGTAACTAGTGATTGAGAAGTGAAATCACCATGAAAACACACTTAAAAACTCACCTTAGGTATGCAATTGGATGCCTTGGTCAGATTGGGGATGGAGAGGATGCCCTAGTCTTGAAAAATGACTTAAATCCTCTAATTTCTTGTCCTTAGGTGTATTTAGAGGTCTGCTACTAGCGCGGCCGCGCTAAGGAGGCAAAATACTTCGCAATATGTGCGGCCGCGCTAAGGCCGCGCATATGACATATTCCAAGTAAAATGGTCATAACTTTCTGTATACACCTCCAAATGATGTACGATTTGATGAGTTGGAAACTAGACTCAAAGAGCCTTAATTTGATAGGTTTTTCATCACACAAATATAACTGGAGATATGATCGTCCAAAGTGAGGTCTTGTGCGCACTCATTTACAGCTTTAGTCTATTATGAAATTTTCCAACATGGCTTAGACTTAGGCCTTTCCTTAGACCCCAAATCACTTATAAAATGACTTATACGCTTATTAACATATCCAATTGATATCCATTATATCATGAATCCTCATTTGCACACAAAATAAAATAATTAGCCTACCTTGGCACCACGAAATCTTAAATTTCTTGGAAAAATTTTCCGAGGCCTTACAGTTAATTGACTGTTCTTGTCTAGAACACTCAATTGACGTAGGTTCTAGGTCACAACGAATGGCCCTGAGCCAAGAAATCAGAAAAGGTGAAAAGAAACAAATTAGTTTTTTTTCTCTGGATTTTAGATTCGAAATTAAAAGGATTTGGTAGGGATTTAGGGGAAACTAGTGATGGATTTGGAAATAGGGGGGAATGTTGATTATATGGTGACAGTTTATACCGATTTGGAGTGTCGCCGCCGGCCAGTGGGGTGTGGGAATTTGGGGGCGGCTAGGGTTGAGGGGTGGAGAAGACGATGGATATGAACGGTGGTCTCTAGGGTTAGAATGAAATTCGGACATATATAAGGAGGAAGCTTGTTAGTTCCCAGCCGTTGGATCGTCCAAGATCAACGGTTGGGATTAAACGCCTTAAAACTGCATCGTTTTGGGTAAAGGGGGGAGTTGGTCGGGTCTGGGGAGCTGGGTTGGGTCGGATCAGAGGCAAAAATGGGAGTTGAATTTGGGCTGGATAACAAATAGGCCCAATATATCAAGACCAAGTTTTTTTCAATTCTTCTTTTCTTTGTTCTTTTTTTTCTTTAATTAATTAATAACCTAAATTGAGTCCTAAATTAATCTAATCTATAAAATTAAGCTAATTATCTAATTATAATATTTACAAAATTAGTTAATCCTAAATTTAAGAAAAGAAAATTACTAATCTAAGATTAAAAGCTAAAATATAAAAATGAGCAATATTTTTTGTAATTTTATTTTAATAATGTAATTAATTAACTAATTAATCTGTAAATATGAAAACAAAATCTAAATGTAATGCATGGTAATTTTTGACATTTTTTCATAATTTTAACAAAATTAAACGTGCACAAAAATGGAAACAATTAACAAACAAACAACAACAACAACAACAACAACCCAGTGTAATCCCACAAGTGGGGTCTGGGGAGGGTAATATGTATGCAGACCTTACCTCTACCCCGAGGGGCAGAGAGGCTTTTTCCAGGAGACCCTCGGCTCAAAGAGGAAACAAGAGACAATTAACAAAACTCCTATAAAATTGCAAACAATTTGGGAAAAATCTATTTCTTTAATTTGTAGGAGTATTTCACATAGGGCAAAAATCACGTGCTCCCAAGCAGTACAACAACAACAATAACCATGGGGCTATGCGACCACAGGGTCAAATGGTGCCTTACCAAATGTAACAAGGTTACAACCAGCAAAATCAGCAGCAGGCTTATCGACAACCTCCACAACAATAGAATGTAAGACATGAAGATGAGTTTGGTAAACTTGAAGGAATGATGCAACAAGTGATTGGGTCCACTGGAAAACTAACTGATAGAGTAGACTCACATAAGTCAGCGATAAAGAATATTGAGAACCATTTAGGACAGATTTCCATGGCCCTAAATAATCGTCCTCATAGGACATGACCTGCAGACACCCAAATTAATCCAAAAGAGCAGGGCCTGAAGCAGGTGATGGCAGTGAGTCTCCGAAATGGAAGAGACTTAGATCGGGAGCAAGAAATTGCTTGTGAAAGCAGACTGATTGAGACATTGGTGCTAGCGCCCATTGAGATAGATAATTCAGTAGGGTTAACTGAGGTGACGGTACATCATGCGCAAGAGAACACCAACAAAGAAGAAGAGGTTGTGAAAGAGATTGAGGTTGCACCGGAACCGACAGTAGAAGCAGTTCCTAAACAAGAGAAAAATAAAATCACAGGGAAGAAGTGACCTCCAGCACCATTCCCACACAGATTCAAGTATTAGAAAGATGAGCAGTACAAGAAATTCTTGGAGATGTTGAAGCAAATTTAGGTAAACATTCCATTGATTGATGCTTTAAAGGAGATGCCTGGTTATGCGAAGATGATAAAGGACTTGATATCCTGCAAGTTCGACTTTTAAGACTTGGCCACGGTTATACTGACTCAGACCTGCAGTGCTATTATGATGAGACCCACAGCTAAGAAGCTGTCAAACCTAGGGAGTTTCACAATCCCTTGCACAATAGACAACTTTGCATTTGCTAAGGCACTGTGTGATCTGGGAGCAAACATAAATCTTATGCCCCTGGCTATCTACAAAAGGCTACGCATTGGAAGAGCTAGACCCACATCTATGTTACTATAGCTAGCTGACCAAATAGTGAAGAGGCCTTCTGGGATTCTAGATGATGTATTGGTACAGGTTAGGAAGTTTGTGTTCCCAGCAGATTTTGTCATCCTTGACTGTCGGGTTGATGAGGAAATGCCCATAATTTTGGGAAGACCATTCTTGGCCACTGGGAGAGCTTTAATTGATTGTAAAACTGGAGAGCTCAAGATGAGATTCAATGATGAAGAGATAACATTCAACGTGTAGAAATCTATGCAGAGACCCAGTGAATTTGCTAATTGCTCTCTAATAGATGCGGTGGATGTAGTTTTGGAGGAGGAAGATGAGGCATTGAACATTAAAGACCCTCTAGCAGTCTGTCTCATGAACTTAGATGAAGCTAATGGTGAAGACTTAACAGAGTGGGTACTTGCTCTTGAAGGGCAAGGTTTTTGGAGAACGGAGCTCGAATTTGAGCCCTTGCACTTAGAGGAAAGAAGAACTCCTCTAGCTAAGCTATCAATATAAGAGCCACCAAAGTTGGAACTAAAACCACTGCCATTGAGTCTCAGGTATGCATTCTTAGGACCTAACTCAACTCTACCTGTTATTATCTCATCAAGTTTGTTAGATGTGCAGGTAGAACAGCTTTTTCACGTACTGACTGAGTGCAAGACTGTAATTGGGTGGACCATTGTAGACATAAAGGGGATCAGCCTGGCCTTCTGTATGCATAAGATTTTACTGGAGCATGGGCACAAACCCTCCAGAGAACATCAAAGAAGGTTGAACCCTAACATGAAAGAAGTGGTGAAGAAAGAAGTGATCAAGTGGTTAGATGCGAGAATCATATTCCCCATCTTTTATAGCAACTGGGTTAGCCCAGTTCAGTGTGTACCAAAAAAGGAAGGTATGACGGTAGTGAAAAATGAGAAGAACGAATTGATCTCTACACGAACAGTCACAGGTTGGCGAATCTGTATGGATTATAGGAAGTTGAACTTGGCTACCAAAAAGGACCATTTCCCACTGCCATTCATTGATCATATGCTAGATAGATTGGTAGGGAGGTCTCACTTTTCTTTCTGGATGGGTACTCGAGGTATAATCAGATTTCTATTGCCCCGGAGGATAGAGAGAAAACGTCGTGCACTTGCCCTTATGGTATCTATGCCTTTTGGAGAATGTCGTTTGGCCTATGCCGTACCCACCACATTCCAAAGGTGCATGATTGCCATCTTCATAGATATGGTAGAGGATATAATGGAGGTGTTCATGGATGACTTCTCAGTGGTGGGGAATTCATTCGATGATTGCCATGTGAACTTGAGAAGAGTTTTGAAAAGGTGTATCAAGACTAATCTGGTACTCAACTGGGAAAAATGCCATTTCATGGTACAGGAAGGTAGTTTTGGACACCTAGTGTCAAGTAAAGGTATTGAGGTGGATCGTGCAAAGGTTGATGTGATAGAAAAGCTTCCACCACCCACCTTTGTCAAAGCAATCGGAAATTTTCTTGGGCACGCCGGTTTCTATATGAGATTTATAAAAGATTTTTTCAAAATTGCTAACCCCTTGTGTAAATTGTTTGAAAAAGATCACCCTTTTGTGTTTTCTGATGACTGCGGGGTAGCTTTTAAGGAACTAAAAAAGAGACTAGTAATAGCACCTATCATAGTTGCCCCCGACTGGGAGCAACCATTTGAGCTGATGGTGATGCGGGTGACTATGATGCGGGAGCAGTTCTTGGGCAGTGAAAAGATAAAATTATGCATCCAATATACTATGCAGGTAGGACGTTGAGTGAAGCCCAGATAAATTACACTATGACCGAGAAGGAGATGTTAGTAGTGGTGTTCGCATTTGACAAGTTCAGGTCATACCTGATAAGCTTGAAGGTAATTTTTTATAATGACCATGCTACTCTCAGGTAATTAATCAAGAAGAATGAGTCAAAATTGCGCCTGATTTGATGGGTGCTACTACTGCAAAAAATTGATTTGGAGATCAGTGACTGGAAGGGAACAAAGAACCAAGTAGCTGATCATTTATCTGGGCTGGAAGGAGCTGAAAAGAAGGTTAAGGTAGAAGAGATTCTAGAAACTTTTTCAGATGAACAACTACTAGCCACGAGTCTCAAGGAAGCGCCATGGTATGCAGACATCGCAAACTACCTGGCGAGCGGTATTGTTCCTTATGACATTTCCTCTATTCAAAAGAAAAAGTTCTTTCGTGATTGTCGCATATATTATTAAGATGAGCCTTATCTGTTCAGGATTTGTGTTGATAACACGATTCGTAGATGTATCCCCGAGATAGACCAGTTTTCTATTTTGCAGGCATGTCATGCGTCACTCTATGGTAGGCACTTTGGGGGGTAAGGACATCTGCGAAAGTTTTGGAGTCAGGCTTCTACTGGCTAATACTGTTCAAAGATGCACATCTATGGATAAAGGGGTGTGATGAGTGCCAACGAACTGGGAATATTTTTCGCCGATATGAGATGTCGATGAACCCAATTCAGGAGGTAGAAGTGTTTGATGTATGGAGGATCGACTTCATAGGGCCTTTCGTTAGCTCATATGGCAACAAGTATATACTCGTCGCTGTGGACTACGTGTCCAAATGGGTGGAAGTTGTTGCACTCTCTACAAATGATGCAAAGGGGGTAATTGGCTTTTTGAAAAAGAACATATTCACCAGATTTGGCACCCCAATGGCAATAATCAGTGATGAAGACACTCACTTTTGTAATCGAGCCTCCGCAAAGTTGTTGGAGAAGTATGATGTACACCACAAGGTGGCCACCCCATATCATCCACAAACAAGCGGGCAAGTGGAGGTCTCAAACAAAGAAATAAAGAGCATGTTGACTAAGACTGTGAATGCCACTAGAATAGATTGGGCGAGGAAGTTAGATGATACACTTTGGGCTTATCAAACCGCTTTCAAAACTTTAATCGGCATGTCGCCATACAAGTTGGTATTTGGGAAGGTGTGTCATTTACTAGTAGAGTTGGAGCATAGAGCTTGGTAGGCATTGAGATAGTTGAATCTTGATGTTGAAGCTGTGGGAACAAGTAGAGTAATGGAGCTGCACGAGCTTGATGAGTTCAGATATCACGCTTTTGAGAACACGAGATTATACAAGGAGAGAATGAAGATGATACATTATAGAAATATTATTGAGCGGAATTTTAAACCCGGAGATACGGTATTTCTATACAACTCAAGACTAAGTTTATTTCCGGGCAAATTGAAATCACGATGTTCAAGACCTTTTTGTGTGGTTGAAATTCACCCCACGGGTGTCGTAGAGATTGCTGCGAGTAATGAATCTCTCACGTTCAGAGTCAATGGGCACATATTAAAACATTATGCGAGCATGGATGAAGCAAAGATAGTGTCATTAACCTATTTGATCGAGCCTCCGAGGTTGAGCGCACTTTAAATGCGCTTATTTGCGTCGTCCCATGACGTTAAATTAGGCGCTTCATGGGAGGCGACCCATTAACCTGTTGTATTCGTCGCGCCACGAAGTTAACTAAGGCTCTTGTTGGGAGGCAACCCAATTCGTAGTTGATTTTTAGTGTAGTTAGAATTTTTCTTTGTATTTTTAGATACTAATAAGTTTGCAGGTGAGTTTGGGCGAGTCGAGCAAGGTTTAAACATCGTGCGAAGTCAGGAAAACGCCAGAGACAGTCCGGCCTTAAGCTAGCGTCGCCTGGCTAAAGCCAGGGTCAGCCAAGCCTTAGGTTGGCATCGCCTGGATAAAGCCAGGGTCAGACAGGCCTTAGGCTGGCGTCGCTTGGATAAAGCCAGGGTCAGCTAGGCCTTAGGTTGGCGATGCCTGGCTAACACCAGGTAAGTAATTTTTTCCCTCTTTAAGTTATTTCGTCCCATTTTGGTCAACACACATATCAAAAATACGCCCTCACTCACTAAGACACTCTTCAAGCAAACCCTAACCTCACTTCTATCAACACACACCAATCTCCACAGGAAATTTCACAAGCACACTAACACATTGCACAAATTGATTGTTCACCCATACACTATCACCATACACATAGAGGTCAAGCTTCATCTTGCTAGCCCTTCACACTCATCCGAAATTCTAAGTCAATATACTCCTCACAAATCTTCAAAGGTATGATTCTATCTCTTTTCTTGGTAATTTGGAGTTGGGTACATGTGTTGAGTGGTGGGTGTTCTTTATTATTGGTTATGCTTCATTGTTGCTTGTGCTTCATTAAGGGTGGTTGTTCTTTATGGTTTTATGGTGTTTGTGTGCCCCAATCCCATGAACCCCTTTAGGAATGGTATTGAGTTTTTGAAAAATGTTTGGTAGTACGGAAATCCCAAGACGATTTGGGAGGATGAGGCAATCCCTCAAGTCCATAAGAACTCATATAGCACTAGTGCTCGTCAACTGTTCGGTAAAATGCCTCAATGGCGTTCCTAGTCCCCTTTGGAGCCCGAGCCTCCGGGGTTGGTAATCTAGTGCTTTGTAAATGTGCACCACATTAACATCTTAAGTGTAGGGTGGATCAAGGGTAGCCAAAGTGTTGTTGTTTGATTCTAATATTAAGAAAATGTGAGGTGAAGCCTGAGTAACCTTGGCAAGTTGGGGGAGCTGATGTGTGTATTGTGTAATGTAGCATTATCTGACTATTGCTCGTTTGTGTAGGAACGAAGATGCCGGCCACAAAAGATACAGGCAAAGGGAAGTCTACTTCATCGGCCTAAGCTAAAGCAAATGCGACCTCTGCACCTCCTCCAAAGAAAAGAAAGAAGGGAGAAGTTGCCTCTAGTATGACTGGTGCCCAAGCGGGTACACAACCCCCAGGCCACTGAGAATTTGGCATAAATAGCATACCTTCGCAGACGAGGGATTGGTACAAGTGTTGTAGGCCTAAATATATCCATCCGGAGGGGGCTATACAGGAACGAAGTGTGAAAGCAAAGTACCCGGCTATTTGGAAAGGCATCTAGGATCTGGGGTTGAGCTATATTTTTAAGAACCCTAAGGACATCAACCTCAACTTAGTAAGGGAATTCTATGCGGGGTTTGTCACACCTCCTTTTTCCGCCCCCCGCAAGGGGTGAAGGAGTTTTTCCAATTAAAGGACAATCAAAACGGGATTTGTTTATTTAATTCAGAGTCGCCACTTGGGAGATTTAGGGTGTCCCAAGTCACCGGTTTAATCCCGAATCGAAGAAAAGAATGACTCTGTTTAACAGTCCGCGAACCAGAAATCCGGATAAGGAATTCTGTTAACCCGGGAGAAGGTGTTAGGCATTCCCGAGTTCCGTGGTTCTAGCACGGTCGCTCAACTGCCATATTCGGCTTG